GGGGGGGGAAAGAAGCGTAATAACCGAGGAAGGAACATCCCAGCCAGAACAGGGCAGTGTGTGTCTCTGTCTCAGCACAGTGACAAAGGCTGCTTTTGTTTCATGCACCTGTCCCAAAAGGCTTAAGTAGGCTGGCAATAAGAAGAGTAAACCAAGGCAGCTAGCGAAGTTCTGCAAAGGCCTCTTGCCTGCTGGGTGCCAGCTCTCTACCACTTGTTGCACAATTACTAAGCACAAGTGATTCATTTTCTCTGAGGACACACAGGCAATTTAAGACCCAGGCACAGCTATGAAGTTGAGGGTGAAGTTACACGATATGGCCAAGCTGATCTAACAGCTCAGCACTTTTGAAAAGGGCTGCACTCCTCCCTCTCCCTTTTCTTTCTCTCCCACCTCTGCCATCCTAGCTCCTTCCTCACCTGACTACACTGTGCAAATCAATTCATCCTAAGAGTCTGGCAAAAAGTATGCTTTCTGTTAATTTTCTGCTGGTTAATGGACTGAATCAGCTCAGGAAAGGTCAAGGCCAGGCCAGGACTGGCACTCAGAAGAGGTCCAGAGGGGACAGGAGGGGGGCAGTGACCAGTTAGCTAAGTCCTTCAAGCAGCACCACGTAGCTTTGATTCTCCTTTCCAGGCACCTTACACCTCTCACAAGTCTCCTTTCTGGGATCCCCTATAGACCAGCAAGGATTCCTCCCAGAGAATGGTTTATTGAAGATCTCCTTGAAGGAGGCTACAGTGAATCTGCTCGACCTCAGCCTCCCTCCTCTTAGGGCAACCTCCACACTTGAGCCGCCAAGGCTGCAATTCCACAAAGCCAAAGCTGCTCTGAGGCGGTACGGCTGCCGTTGTGCTTCATCCCTTGCCTCCAGGCTGAGGCCTGTCCGCCTTCACCAGGAGCCAGGCCAGGGTGCCAGCCCTGCCAAGCTGGAGGGGACAGCTTCCACCAGTCTAGGGTCTGGTAGCAGCTCCTACAGGGTCCAGACAAGCCTCAGTGAGGTGGCAGGATGGGGGAGCACTGCTGTACCTGCTCACATCTGGAGCATCTGAAGTTGGCACAAAACTATAGCTCAGTGTCCCTTGCCTGTTCACAGCTTATGAGCTCTCAATAAGAAGGAAAAAATGCTAAGAGCTACTCAGCAATTTGAGGAATAGCAAACCAAGGGCCTAAGGCAGAGAACAAACATCTCCGTTTGGTCAACACAAGGCATGGGGCACCCTGCACCCAAGCAGCAGTGACACAACGACCAGCACAGGCCAGCAGGGACACGGGAACATGCACTGGTGCTGAGGGATCGCTAGCTGCTGCAGCCAGCCCCAGCTCGCGCCAACACTGCAAGCGTTGGCCAGGACAGCGTGCAAGTCAGTATTTATACTGAGAGTTAGCTTAATTTTAAGGATTTGACTTTCATATAATTGCTTGATTTTACAGACTAGAAACAAGAGGCTGCTTTGGACCTGGACTGCAGGACTCAAACATGCTATTTAACTACACGCTTAAGGTCAACAGTAAGGGGTTTTTTTTTGTTTTTTTTTTTTTAAATTATGACTTGTGGCAAGGATGAGCGGAAGCCTTTTCTTGAAACTGCACAGTCTAACTGAAGCAGTAACGTAAGCAAAGAAATTGGGATTTCCATATGCTGAAGAGGAGCAGTGAGTCAGTGGTAACCTCACCAGCTGCCTCTTCTCAATTTATTCACTCATTTTCCACTGGGTTTTCACCATCACCTTTCTGAGCCCACCTTCCTGCTTTGACCACGTGTCACCTTCTCAGCAAGCTCAGATCCAGCCACCCTTCGAAAGGGCTCCTGGCCCTTTTGCTCGGTTAGAGAAGGCCCGGGTTTACTCTGAAAGGTCAGCCAGCAAGGCAGCATGTCTTGCTCTGCCAGCCACTGCATATTACAAGGCCTCTGCTTTCCCCAGAGCCATTTGTCACCAGCACAGCTGACAGCCTGAAGACCTGCCAAGGTGCTCACCTCCCCGCCACGCAAGGGAGAGCCACACATGTCTGTTCCTGGGTGCCGCTGCAGGGCCAAAGTGAGCAGTGGCACTCATGCACCTTGGGATGTACGTGCCTGCCCTCAGCTACGGCCCAAACCTCCCCTGGTCCCAGCAGCTGACATCCATCTCCGCTACAGTCACTGTTGACCATGAACCACAGGGGAGCTGCTCGCACTACAGGGTGCAAGCGGGCAACGCTGCCAATGCAGCAGGATCTGACGCTTTCCCGGGATGGCCCCTCCTGTACATACCCCAAAGCAAGTAACTTGAGCTTTGCTGCAAAGTGAGCTTGGAGGCATTTCTAAAGCTCTTCCCTGTTAATTCACTGTTGCTTCTCCCAACTAATCATCCTGCAAGGCAAGAGCTGGAGGCAGGAGGGAAGGAGGCAGGAGGGAAGCAAGTTTGCAGGGTCTTGTGCACCACCTGCCACAGCTGTGCTTTCCAGAGTTCACCAGGAACACTTCCTCATACCCAGAAGAAATAGGTTTTTGGGCACCATGGAGCCACATTTAGCAGCCAGCCCTTCTGGCAAAGGGATCGATAAACCCCAAGGACTGGCTACAAATCACAGCAAGCTCTCTACCTACATGGCACATACGGCACCTTAACACCCCCATCCATCTAGAAGGGCCCATCCTAGAATTCAGTGAGAAAAGCTGAAAAACCATGCAAAGTTTTGGTTGCTCCCGTTTTGCTTTTAAATAGCTACACAAGAGAGCAAGGTCTGTCTGCTTTCTGCAGTGCAAGAAGCTCTCACAGCCTGATGTGTTTGGGTCTCCCAGCCTGGAGGCGGCTTGCTGCAGTCCAATGCAGAGCTGTGATTATGCTCTCATCATGGAAGGGTGTTTCAGTTACTCCACAATTCTGTAAAGCTCATACATATTTCATAACTTTTCTGAATGCAAAGCTGGACAAGAAGCTTCTAACAAAACCTGACTTGCAAGAGCGCTCTTGCGGTCCGACAGCGGGTAAAGAGATGGGGCCGAACTTACTGGAGCCGAATTGTAGGTCTCTGCTCTGAAAAGCCACTAGGATATACAGAATAAGAGCGATGCCTGTTACTACAGGGCTCGGTAGACTGAGTTGGAAGATGGACTTCTGTTCTCAGCATCTTTCCCCACCCCTCTGAATGCAGGCAAGATTTAGGCAGCATAACAGCTACGCTAAAGGCACTGCAGAAGGACTCACAGACCTGCACCAAGTCCAAGTGACTCAGGTCACTTCCCTGGCTGCTCTCACACTTCTCATCTGCAAAGAGAAAAGCTTCTACTTCAAAAGGGTAGGAAGAAAAATCAGAGAGTAGGATTGTTCACTGTCAGTATAGTAACACTGAGGAGAGAGAGCCAGCAAGCTGAGAATCTGAGACAGGTCTTAGGCTTTAGTATGACTCTGGAGCATCTTCCTGCCAAGATCAGCAGGATAAAATCTTCCAGGCTGCGTGGATGTGCGAAATGTGTTCCAGGAAGCAGTGGGCACAAGGCATGGGACATCCCCTGGATCCAAGAGGTCCCTTCCAGGGCCACCGTCTCCCTCACAATACTGCCTTGCGTGCATGTAGCTGCAGGGAAAACTGCCAGGCAGGCCCTGTGCTCGCTCCTCTATGCTCTTCCACCTCGGTGATGCCCCCATTCACCGGCTGCAGGCTTCAGCACACCAACAGTAGTCACTGAAGGGTCGAACAGACAGCTGTCGGGATGCGTTGGCAAGGGCAATATGGGACCCAAAAGTCTTTTGGTGACAGCAGCACTACAAAGCTTTTGTATAAGAGCAGCAGAGAGTTTCAGCCACCACTGTACAGACTTCCCCCTCTGCTCTCCAGGCAACACCCTTAGTCCTCTCATCTGCAAAGAATCAACCCCATTTTCTGCCAGCCTGGGCAAGCTGGAGAACACACCATGAGACACTTTTGGTAGCAGTTTATAGAGCAGAGTTTAAAGCCGTTAGGACATCTCTAGCCTATACCTCCTAAGAAGCAGTGGCGGAGAGTAGGAAATTGAGATTGCTGGAGAAAGCTGTCCTATGGGGGTTGACACACTGAAGTATCCCAGCCAAACCAAGGGCCGGAGGTGAACATCCTTTAACTCAGCTTTGCTGCTTACCCGTTTGTCTGGCAGAAAAGTTTTTGGCAATGTTACTTAATGCTTCTGCCCCTCCTCACAGCAAGAACAGAAGCTGCTTTTGCCCCAGCCAGCCCAAAGGAGAATGGAGACCTTTACCCAAGATCGGCACACTGAATCAAGCCTGCTTATTGCAGGCACAAAGGACCAAACTGTCCTTTCTTGGACATTTCTCCCCAAAAGAGGACAAATGCAGAGCATCCTCTTGCCCACCCAGAATACAGAAGCTGACTTGCATTTGTGCCCCTGCTCAAAAAAAATTCTCAGTACCCCCTAAAAATGGAGGTGTCAAGACAGTGTCTATTACATTTTAGAATTTAAATGAATAGGAGCTGGACTATGCCATTGTCACCTCATGCCAAAATTAGCCACTAATCTGCCTGCCCACAGGAGAAGAGGAAGGACAGGGCTGCGCAGGGCTCCGCAAGAGCTAGGAGCACAATCATAAGTAGTCAGGGCAAAGCCACAGCATTACTGAGCCTTACACAATCAATAAGGATAAAAACCTTAGTAGTAGTTAAATGCATGCTAAAGAGTGTAATTAAAGGCTACATGT